CTTATAATTCATATAGAAAATCTCAAGTAATTCTAATAAACCAAAATCATGATTTTGATCAAACTCATACAAATTCAAATCATCAAAATCATCAAAATCTCAACATTTCTTTCAAGAGATTCAAAATGACATAAATAATTTTATTGATCTCTTAGTAAAAAAAATCGATAATGTAGGGATTGAGAAGTTTTCAAGAAAAATGCTTTCCTCTTTTTGTTTCAACTTATTGATTAATTTTATACATGTATATTCTTTTCTTTTATGCCAAATCAAGACATGTATCATTTTTAAAACCAAAAAAGAACTTTCCAAAGATCGCAAAAACTATCATGCATAATTTCGAATTATAAAACCATTAAACATGATTTCAAGTCAATATACTCAAGTTTTTGTATTAAAACCATCCATCTTGTTTAAAACCGAAAAAGCAACATTTTATCATGAATAACTTCAAAGTCTCATGCATAGAATAAAATCATCAAGCATGATTTCATTAAACATAAATCATCTTCAATCAAAATCATGAAATCATCAAGATACACATTAATGCTTCTTAAACTAATCTTGTTAGGTGTACAAGCATTAGATTTATATCTAACATTTTATTACATTATTATATCATTAAAACATCAGGCATGATTTCATAAGGCATTCAAAATCATTTTGTTTATTTATCATAAAACGTGTAATTTTCATTATTATTTTCAAAATTACTAGCATAATCTCAATTTTTTTAACTTTATCATTACATTATTAAACATGCAATTTTCAAGAAAAACAATTAAACTAATTTAAAAATAACTCATGAAAAAATATCATGTAATTTCGAAATAAACTAAGAGCATTTTGATTACCTCATCGTCAAATGTTGTTAAAGCGTAGTTTGCCACCTTGCCTTTGTTGATTTGTCCTTCTTCTTCGGATGAGCTCGTTTCGTCCAAGATTGTTTCCTTCTTCTTGCGTTCATAGCAAGTAGTTGCGTTCTTTTTAAGTTTATTTTTGTTCTTCAACTTTTGTTTCATGAACTTTTTAAATTTCATAGTAATGAGTTCAAGTTCACCATCACTTGAACTTATGCTCGAGTGATATTCATGTGTTCTAAGTCTAAAATCCTTCTTGTCCTTTTGAAGGTAGTTCTCATGTTCATCAAGTGTCACATTAGTCATTTCATAGGTCATCAAAGACTCAATTAGTTCTTCAAATGGTAGGTTGTTTAGGTTTTTATCCTCTTGTATTGCGGTTATTTTCGGATCCCAACTCTTATTAAGAGAACGTAAAATTTTGTTTACAAGTTCAAAAGCCGAAAAACTTCTACCAAGTGTTTTTAAACCATTGACGATATCCATAAAACGGGTGTACATGTTAACAATGGTTTCACTTGGCTTCATTCGAAAAAGTTCAAAATCATGTATTAAAAAGTTGATTTTCGAATCTTTTAATATACTTGTGCCTTCGTGAGTAGTTTCAAGAATATGCCAAATGTCGAAAGTCGTTTCGCACAAAGAAACCCGATTAAACTCGTTTTTGTCTAAGGTGCAAAATAGAACGTTAATAGCTTTAGCATTTAAAGAAAAAGTCTTATTCTCCAAATCATTCCAATCTTTCATTGGAAGAGAAGACCTTTTAAAACCGAATTCGACAATGTTCCATAAGTTCAAATCCAAAGAAAGCAAAAAAACTCTCATTCGAGTTTTTTAATATGTGTAGTCCATCCCATTAAAAAAGGGAGGACGAATGAGAGAGTGACCCTCTTGAAAGCCGAAAAGAGTCATTTCTATTTAGGTGTTAAACCAAATATGAAAAACGAGGCTCTGATACCAATTGTTAGGAACGAGGTCGGCACTAAGAGGGGAGGGTGAATTAGTGCAGTGGTAAAATCACGTCTTCAAAAACGTTTCGTTTCGATAAAACCGATTTCGTAAAGATGTTAACTTGAAATTGTACGGAAACGTAGTGGAGGAATTCAATTTGCAATAAGGTAAATAGCAAGAAGTAAATACAAACCAGATTTTAGAGTGGTTCGGTCGTCGTGACCTACATCCACTTCGCCAATTCCTCTTCCGTCGAGGCCACCGGCATCCACTATCGGTCTTCCTTCAATAGGCGAAGACCAACCACCTTTTACAACTCGATTCTCCTTTTACCGGATTTAGGAGATAACCCTTACACCCCCACTCACTCCTCTCTCAAACTATTCTAACACTTAGAACTTTAAGAGGAGCTCACACAAGATTACAGCAGCATTTCTATCCCTTTTTACTCTCAATACTTGTGTATTTTAACCAGGGATGAGAGGAGTATTTATAGGTTTCAAGTTGATTCAAACTTGGAGCCTAAAAACATCTTATCCCGGGTTTCTCGGGCACGGGCGATACTACCACCTGCGCTGGGCGGTACCACCGCCAATATCAGTCTGACACTGACACTGCACTGGGTGATACCACCGCTTGACACTGGGTGGTACCACCGCCTGTAGCCTCTCGGAGGTTGTGTCTAGGCGGTACCACCGCTTGACACAATCTCGGAGACTATGCCACGATGGTGTAACCTCTTGGGGCATTGTTTGGGCCTTTTTATTGGGCCCAACATAATTCTTACATGAGCCCAACTGGTCCCTAATTGGGTTGGCCCAAATTCAAACCTAATTACGTGCTAACTACGATTCCTAATACATATTCTAAACTAAACAAGTTCGTAAGTCTTGGTTTCTTCCGACGATCTTTCGACGAACTTCCGAACGATCTCTCGGCAATGTCCCAGTGGACTCCCGACAAACTCCTAGACTTCACGACGATCTTCTTGGAGAGTTCCAACGAGCTTCTCTAGCAAGCTCCGAGACTTCTCGGTTGGTTCCTGCAGAACTTCCGACGAACGTCTGGACTTCCGACGAACTCTTAAACTCCCAACGAAATCGCGTCCTTAACTCCGGGACTTCATTTTACTTTATGCCTTGCTATCGTAGTTAATCCTGCAAATGTAAAAACATACTTCGATCTAGACAATTAATACTAAGTATTAATCATGTTATCCGGCATGTCATTGGTCCCTCGACGCTTCGTCCGATTCTTCGGCGCATCATCCTCTCTTGCGGCCTATTACCCAATCGGCCAATTGACTCTGCAACTCTGATATCTTTAACACAATATCCGTTCTTTTTGGCCCGATGCCCGAATCCATGGCCCGAAGCCTTCTGTCGATATGTCGACCGATCCACCGGCTCGACGTCCAATCTTCTGATATGTTTTCCCCCGGCCCAACATGATTCTTCCTGCTTTAATTGTCTCATCCTGATCGAAGCATCCTGCGTCACTCAAAACGCAGATTAAATCATAAACACTTATCAATTGGTTTCATCATCAAAATACGAGATTCAACAAAAAAATGCTTTACCAACAAATAGATCAAACATGTCTTACTTGAGACAGTCTAGTGGTTAGTGCATTGTTGAAGACATAGGTCTCGTGTTTCAGGTTAGAGTCAGTTTAAGAAATCTTGTATGCATTTAGTGTAATGGAAGAAAATCATTTTTTTAATAGAACAAACGTAGGCCCAATAGGAATAAATGGTAGCCTAATCTAAAATCTGATAGAATTAAAGATAATAAGGTTAGACTCTAGCTAAATCATTTGATAAAGTAGGGCCACCAAGCAGCCATTAACAGAACCTATGTCACTAAAGTTATCAGTACAGCAGCATGAGAGTTAATTTTTTAAAGTTTCACAACGGAGGGTAAATCTTTATGGCAACAGAAAGATCATTTAATGCTCATGAACATTTTAATTCAAGGATCTCATCCTCCCCTTGGCATCGTATGGTGCAGCCTAAGGGGTTTATGATTTCCAGTGAATGTAATACAACATTCAAAGTGGGCGTGTTTTGCCATCCATGCTTATTTTATCTGTGAATGGAGCTTTTGCAAATGCGAACAGAATTTGATTGCCTAAAATTACGGGCACTGCAATCGCAGAAGAAAATTTGTAGGTTAGAGGCCAATTTTATTACGCTTGCCTGCAAAATCACCTATGTCCAAATCGTTACTAGGCGACTTTGCAGGATGCAATGACAAGCGCAGACGTAGCTCCCTTTTACCGCAAATCCCAAAAAGATCGTCAAGCACAACTATGAACAAGCTGTTGGCAACCCGAAGAGCCAAAAATACCAAGTCAGATCAACACCATTAAATAAGACTAAAGAAACGCATCAAATGTGAAACCGTGTATCAGATTCTCGCCATCATTATAATATAAACCCCAGAACAATAGAATGAAAACAGAGCATTCCCAAAGAAGAATAGATCATCAGATCTATCTGAAGAATTCGAGGAAAAAGAACAGGAAAACACGATCCATCAGCGATCTAAATGGATACAGAAATTATGGAGACCGGCCGATCTAATCAAATCGAACGACTAAGTGACGGAAGGCGCTCATAGATAGAGAGAGAAGGTAGAATACCTGGCTGAACTTGAGAGTGTGGGATTCGCCGGCGAGCTGTAGGGATCCGCTGACGAAGACGAGGACGCCGCCGGCAGGGCCAGAGGGCTGGCAGTCGACGGTGGAGATGGCGTGGGCGCACTGCTGGAAGGGGAGGGAAGTGAGCTTGGCGACGATCGCGGCGGCGCCCTGGATCTTGTCGCCTTCGAAGGTGAGCATGGAGGCGTCCTGGTACAGGCCCCCCAGCGCCGCCCGGTTCCCATCGAACGTCCGGTAGTAGTGCTCCACGAAAGCCTTCGCTACCGCGTCCGGATCCATCGCCGCCGCGGCCGTCACAAAGATCCCTCTCTGTTTTTCCCTTTCTCACCCTTTCTCCTCTTTATATACCCTCCGCGAGAGAGGCAACTGGAGACGGACTGCTGCTTTTGCTTGACGTTGATACTATTAACAATAGTAGAGTGGGGGAATCAAAGAGGTCATGCCCTGAGCCGGGCTTTTAGGCCTAACAACAATACGCCCAGCCCTGTCCTGTCTGGCCCGGCCCGGTTTATTATATGAATTTTAAGTCTAATTAGACATTATCCATTCAACACAAACACATTCAAAAACCAATTAGCTTATTGTTCCATAATTTTTTCTATCACAAATTAAACTTCTAAATGTGTTTGTTGAAACATCATATGAATTGTTGTATAATTGATATAGCATCATGGAAATTAAATCCTTCTGAAAGGATATATGATAGATATTGGTTAGAATAGTTTGTTGGTCTAGAAATATATTCGAAATAAATTAAGATTATATTCAGTATTTGTCTCTGGTATCGATAAAATATCAAATCTCCTTTATCTTAAGATGTCAAATCTTATAAGCTATATCGAGGTTATACTTGACAAAACTCCTTCGATGTTTAAGTTAGTTTCGATTACGATGTACCGATAAAAAATCAAGTTCTTTAAAGCCGAATATACTAAAACCTAAGAATTTTAGAATGATAGATAACACACTTATGAGGCCTTTTATAGTTTGGTTTCATAATCATTTCCTCAAAGATGTATATCAATATCAATGATGATTATATTTTTTTTCGATCATAATGTCATATTAAATCTAAAAGATTTATAATAGTCATAAATGCTAGCGTCCAATGGGTGATACCATATCAATCACATAATATCATGATGTTAAAGAAGATAGTATCAGGTTCTTGGACTTGTGATGTCAAAATATTGATAAGATGATACCAAAGTGTCGATTATATAACAACTAGAGTATCACTAATAATAGTAATATTATTTTGTTGGTATGTGATGTCGAATATTTATCAAATATTAAAATAATATTATTATTTTGATCATAAGTATTGAGATGTCAAAATATTAATGAGATGATACTAAAGTGTCGATCATATAATTTTAGGATGTCAACCATATATTGGTTGCATCATTATTTTTCTATTAATAATAATAATAATAATATTTTTTCATCATTAACTTTGTCGTCAGCAACGTCACTAGTTAATTTGAGGTCTAATCAATATCAACTTTTATTACTTTTAACAATGTACTTTTTTTATCTTTCTTAATATATTTAATTTATATTACGTACCTAGTGTTCATCCCTTTTTTTTCTCTCATTTGTAGATCTTCTCTAAACACATCTAAAGCACCTTATGCAAACTTTTATCAAATTATTTTTAAAAATTCATAGAAGAAATATATTACTTCACTATGTAAAAAGATTTCGCAGCATCCTTCTATTCTGCAACTCCCCAAATGGCCTAGAAATATCTGTCCACCATAATTGTATGCAGAGGTTGAGTTAGAGGAAAGTTAATGGCAGGTCCCAGGCATAGCCAGTTTAAGGTACAACTTGCTCCATTCTTACCAAGTTATGTGAGCAGCAGTACACTTGCCTACTGCAGTGGTCACGACTGCTGGTCCAGGAGTTGGCTAGATGAACAGCCAAGTAAAAGCAATGCCCCACCTGATGCAGGAAGAAGAGCTGCAGACTCTGCACACTGACTCATCTTCCCGTCTTTAAATGTTATACACAACAAGAGGATGGATGGATGGATGGACAAAAGCGCAATGAAGTGGAGAGGTTACAGATTGTGGGTGGTACATTCAATTATTCTTCGAGGTATTCTTCACCACACGATCATGTTCATTGTATTTTGAAGATAACTCTCTACTTTGGTCTTGTTATTGCATATCTTGACAACTCTACTATCATACAAACTATGTTTGTCATCAGTAATAGCTTAAAATTTGATTCATAACTGGATCAATATCATGCTCGACATTCTAATTTGATTGATAATATTCATCTATACCAATATATCACTTCTATAATTTGTTTAACCTACTTGTAGGAACTATCAGGACAAATTAGATCCTTCAGTTTGATTTATTCTTTTCTCCACCTCGAACCCTAGTCAACAATGCATCAATTGGTCATGTATGTCTTGTTAACTTGCTACGATTTAGATTTGCTTGATTATGTGCAAATATAAGCATTTATGAACTCATGTTTGACCTTTTTCAAGATGAATTCTTAGTGGATTATTTTATTTTATTTTATTTTATTTTATAGGCAATCAAGCACTACATACGGATTCAGTAGTAGGTTTAGGTAAATAGAAATAAAAACATTTGGGTCTTGTTTGTGGATATATAGAGGTCTTAAAATCCTGGGAGATATGACCTTAAGATTGTAAATTCTTGATTTAATGAGAGAAGATGTAATGTTTACGATAAGAAATAAGCATGACATATATGATTATACATAACATGAAGCGATAGAATGGAGTCACATGGAATCTTATAAGCATCGTATGAGAGTAAGATGACGTACATGATTTGCAAATGATAGATAGGACATGATATGATATGATTTGATGTTATTGCGTAACATGCTATGAGTCTGTCTATATGGGTGTCTCTAAAGATGTATAATCTGCCACTCTTATATAATTTTTCTATATACTAATGTATATGCTTCTTTAAATTTAATTTATTATAATAAAGTCAATAAAACAATAAATTCAATTTTCAAAATATAGTAAAAATATTAAATAAAAGATTGTATAGAACTAATAGAACAATAATAAATTAGCTTTTATAGTCTAATATAAATTAAAAAAAATCGTCCTCATAGGTTTCTGTATTCTGATGTAGTGAAATAAATTATCTTTAAGAATACTTCTACTCATCTCTTTTACAAACATCTAAATCAACAACTCAGACTGACTTGAAAATTACCTTTTTCAATTCGAGTCAATTAAAATACTTAAATGATTCGAGGACTTAAATAGTGAATATAATACTCTACAAATCTATTTAACCATAAAATTAATCATAGTAAATAATTGTGTTTAAATCTGAAATATTCATATAATTTAGATTTTTTATTGTACATATGAAAGTAGATAAAAGAATGCATTTCTCATAGCTTTGATTATGATGACATGAGGATAGTGTTTTTATTAGATTATATTGAAAATAGAGCAGTAGAATCACTCCAATTTAATATATCGAACTCCCAAGTAGCTCAAAAGAATACGATGACCAAATAATATATGAATATATGTGAAAAAATACAATGTCAAGTCTACTTCTATGTTCTCATAGAGATATATAGCTCGAACTGTCTTCCCCTTAATTGTTTGATATTATTTCATGGGCGATAACATCATAAGCTAGTGAAGACATCGATAAGGATTGGCACTAATTGTCTTCAAGATTCGAGACATTTGAGAGAATTATTGGTCTCAAACAGCTTTATCTACCAAAGAGTTCATAAGATAGCTACAACCTCAGCATGAAATATTCTCTCTCTCATTGTGACATAAATCGTTCCACTATAATTCTCATAGAAGTGATATATGTCATCAAACATGGATCATTTCACGTCATCTGTCATCTAATAAATTAATGACCGTGATCATTATTAGACGTATAATAAAGTCTTACCACCAAAATGGTCATACCAAGTGATTAACTTACAATCAAATTGAAACAATCAAGACTGCTATTTAAGATGCATACGATAATGAAAGCTAATATTCAACTACGCCAATGATTTGGCTCAAACTACACACTCAAATTAGGTGCAAATTTTAGCATGTGATCCTATATTACTTATTTGTTTTGACAAAGTAGTGTGGATGCCCACAGAGAAGATAAGATATTGGGTGGTGTAGAATAATTTAATCACTATGCAACTATTATAGCAGTTAATAAACCTCTATCATTAGTGATTTAGATATTGGCTTTGATGTCTACTTTTTTTCTAATCACAAGTCATATTCCAATCATAATTCCACATGGGAAGAAGTACAAACTATCTTGGTAGTTAAAAACATCAATAAAAGATGAACTACATTGCAAGATATTTGGATTTGCTGTACCACATATGCTTTAACTAGCTTTGAGAAAGTATGTGTCCTTGTTACAAGTTGGTGTAGAACAGTAAACCATGTCTAGCTTTGATAAAGTATGTGTCCTGTTGTCAAATGAAAAAGCAATTTGATGGAGAAATTGTACTATGATAGTACTTAGCTTGCTAAATTATGTTTTTAATTTCTTTCTTGGCACTTATTCCAAAGAATATAAGAAAATAAATATTACCAGGGTATTCAAATCCAATTAAAAAGTCAAATCGAACTGATGCAGAACTAATACGAACTAGTTCACCAATAGTTTAATTTTAAATATTATAAATAATTTTGATTCATAACTACTCTTTCTCGATTTGATTAGTCACCAAATCGATTCTAATTTATAAAATACTATATTGAGTTCATTATCCCTTAAGTTCCTAATCGATTCAAGTCGATTAATCAAATCAATCTAAAGGTCCTAAAAATCTAAAAACACTAAAATTAGGCCATATTACCTAATTTCAAAGTCATGATTTTACAAATGATGCGATCCCAATTTCATAAATTTTATTATATCATACCAATTGGACAAAAGTTTTGATTCAATTCAGTTGAATTGAATCAATTCTGAATCGAACCATTTTATTGATATTTTAAATTATCTAAACTTATAATCCGATTAATGGAACTAGACTAGATTAATTTGTTTCGGTTCAAACCTATTTTACTTTAATTGAATCAAATAAAAAATCAACTCGATTCGATTTTACCCTTAAGGATCCAAATGGAACTGATTTAAACGCTATTAGGATTTAATATAGGAACTCAATTGACTAAAAAGTCTCTCTCAAATATGAAATGACATCATTTGGCTGAAAAGTCTCATGATCTCTCGACATAAAATGACATGATCATCTAGCATCAGGTAAATGACAAGTATAATTAATAAATATATATAATTGTAATTCTCCTTATTAAAAACTTCCTAAACTACAAAAAAAATAAAGACGGTAGAAAGCATCCATTAAATTGCTA